GCCCTGACCAGGCCCAGGGAATGAACCTGCAACCCAGGTACATGCCTTTGACCAGGAATTGAACCTGCAACCCTTCCATGTGCAGGCTGATGCCCTATTACTGAGCCACACCAACCAAGGTTATTACAACCGAATTTTGCCCCTAAGGTAGCACGTATCAGTAAGCATTTTATTTAGTTATCTCCTCTTTCATTTGTCTGAGAGCTTCTTAAATAGAAAGTAGGAGCACAGTACTTGATATATAACAGCTGTTTAATAAATACTCAGGAGCCCCAAAGTGGCATCAGCATCAAGGGACCAGGAATCAGATGTTTTAAAGGACTCCAGGCAGGCTTTTTCAGCAGGGAATTCTCTGGGTGGGTCCGGGTACTGGGCAAGTCCGGAGGGGAAAGTTACTGGTCTTAGTAAATGGAATGTGGTCTAAATGAAAGGGAATGTTGGTTGCAAAAGGTCAGTTTCCCAAGGGAAGAGGCACCGACTCGATTATTTGATCAGACCTAACAATGGCTAGTTCTCTCCAGAATATCAATAGAAGACAGAACTTGAGTTTAAATGTTGAGTGGAAGGAGAAGGGTGCATCTGTGGGCTAGACTAAAGGACTATACTTGAGGATATGTTTTCATAACTGGTATATTGTATTGTTCTTCTTTAGAGTGATTAGAGTTTGGGCCTAGATAGGTGGATGGAGCTAAAAGAGAAGAGTATGGGCACTGCTAGTTCAGTTTGTACACAAAATTCTTTTGAAAATTATTAGTGCTGGTGAATTTTTTTAATTTATCATGTAATCAGAGCTGGTTGTTGTTTTTCCATTTTTAACATTTCACTTTTGCTGTTCCACCCTGCCCAAGTCAAACACTTTCCACTTCCCATGAAGTTGACTAGATGTGGTAGAGCTTTTAGGCTGCATATGAGGGGAGTGGAATACTCTAGACCAGTGATGGCGAACCTTTTGAGCTCGGCGTGTCAGCATTTTGAAAAACCCTAACTTAACTCTGGTGCCGTGTCACATATAGAAATTTTTTGATATTTGCAACCATAGTAAAACAAAGATGTATATTTTTGATATTTATTTTATATATTTAAATGCCATTTAACAAAGAAAAATCAATCAAAATAATGAGTTCGCGTGTCACCTCTGACACGCGTGTCATAGGTTCGCCATCACAGCTCTAGACTCTAGAGCAGGGGTGGGCAAACTTTTTGACTCGAGGGCCACAATGGGTTCTTAAACTGGACCGGAGGGCCGGAACAAAAGCATGGATGGAGTGTTTGTGTGAACTAATATAAATTCAAAGTAAACATCATTACATAAAAGGGTACGGTCTTTTTTTTTTTTAGTTTTATTCATTTCAAACAGGCCAGATCTGGCCCGCGGGCCGTAGTTTGCCCACAGCTGGTCTAGAGCAATACATGAAAGGACAGGATGACAGCAATTTGTCTCTGTCCCTACCACGCCCCAGAAGCGCTGTGACTTTAGCTATCAATAAAACACATTGAGAGAAACTTTGTTTTCCAGTCTCTATGTTTGAAATATGTGTAATACATTTCTGAACAAAATTATATCCATATGCATGGTAGAAACTGGCACAGTGAAACAAAATACAATTGTGTTTCAATTCCAATAATATTGTAAATGTATGATGTTTCATTAAGATATAGATCCAGGGAGGCTAGGGGACTGTCTAGGGCGGGGGGAAAAAAATGGACACATATGTAATACCCTTTGTAATAAAAAAATAAATAAATAAATAAATAAAATAAAACCCAGATTTCATTGAAAAAAAAAAAAAGATATAGATCCAGCCCTGGCCAGTGTTGTTCAGTGGTTAAAGCATCAGCCTGAGTACCAAAGGGTCATGTGTTTGATTCCCGGTCAAGGGTATGTACCTGGGTTGTAGGTTCAATCCCCTGGTCAGACGTGTGTGGGAGGCAACCAATGTGCCTCTCTCACATCAATGTTCTTCTCTTTGTTTTCCCCCCTCCCTTCTTCCTTTCCACTCTCTCTAAAAATCAATGGAAAAAATATCCTTAGGTGAGTATTTAAAAAAAGGTATTATAAATATTACATATGACATTAGCACTAATATCATCTTCACATTCTCCTAATGGAATCTATCTCTGAAAAGTTTATTATTTGATTTTTGAAATTAAAACAAATGCATCATTGCAGATACTGCTAACTGCTTAAACAGTATCTTTTTGCTTCTTCATTCATAAAAGAACTCCAGTGTTTTGGGGGAGGTGACTATGTACCTAGATAATAGATTGTTTTTCACCCTCCCTGGCAGACTCAATTCTGTCCATGAGATATAAGTACAGTGTTTCATGGGACTTTGGGGATGGCTGCCTAAAGGGAATTGATTCAGCTGGGAGGTAGCTCTCATTTCTTCCTTTTTTTTTTTTTTTAGGTTTTTATTTACTTTTAGAGGGAGAGGAAGGGAGATGACAAGAGAGATAGAAATATCGATGAGAGAGGAACATCATCAATCAGCGGCCTCCTGCACATCCCCCACTGGGGATGGAGCCGCAACCAGGCATGAGCCCTGCCTGGGAATCTAACTGCGACTTCTTGGTTCCTGGGTCGATGCTCTTCCTTCTTTCCTTTTGGAAGTAATGACTTAGATCTTAGCAGCCGTCCAGGACTCAGAGAGGAGCGGCTGGCTAAGCTGCTGCTCCAACCTGATCAGTGCCCAAGGGAACACAATAAATTCCTGTCCACGGCCCTCGGTGGGGCTGGCCACTGTACGCTTTCCAACAGTTCCAATAAAAAAGATAAAAAGCTAGAGAAGGCAGTGGCTGTTCTTCACACATTCTGACAAAAATGTAAAAACAATTGCTTCCAGACCCCTCCCGCTCTCCCACCTCCAGGTGTTTGCTGGCCCTACCTTATCTGTATATTCTCTCCACTGAGGTAAAACTGTTAACCTTTGACTATAACTAACTGAAACTGCTGGTGCATAGTTGTATTTTTCTTTGTTCTCCTGTGTATATGAGCATCCCCTCACTTTCCTAAAGTTAGGGCACTGTTTCAAGTCTTCTTGGAACGCTGCTCTCGAGTAAGGTCCTCGGGTGGGCCCAGCCAGCGATGGATGATTCTCACCCACCACTGGTGTTTCTATCTCTCTCTCCCTCTCTTTTCCTCTCTCTGAAATCAATATAGATAAAATCTCTTTTCTTAAATCTACAAAGGTTCAAGTCTTCTTTTCATTGACGACTATGAGGTTATTTGAAGGCGGAAGTCACATATATGATGGTGGAAGAATGACAGATGACGATGACTGAGTCACTGATGACCACCAAACCAGCAAAACAGTCTCACTATAGGCCTGAGGGGTTGGAATTTCCAGCTGCAAAAGGAAAATATTTATCTCTGATAAACAGAATGTGTTGCTTCCAAATTTTGGAACTAGCACAGTGGCCTGCCCCGGCCTGCAGGCTTGCTTTCCTTACTAATTAGCAATTTAGGGCTGCTCTTTCACTGGGTCAGTGAAGAAAGAAGGCATGACAGTCAGGAGCCATGAAGAGACCAGTTGATGAAAACCACTGATTGAAAGAGGTAAACGAGTGTGGAGGAGAGACTGTTCCATGGCCTGACGGCTGTCCTACCTAGGGAGCTGTGCTGGGGCCAAATCGGAGATCAGGAGTGCTTGCAAAAAACCACCTAAAAGATCATAGTTGGTGTCCATTCTGCCATAAACCCCTCCCCTGCCTCCTGTTCCAAGCTGGATCCTGGAATAGGCCATTGTCCTGAACTGGTTAAGCATGTACTTTCCCATAGCCTTCAAATACTAGTGCCCGTGACCACCCCCCCAACACCACCACCTTATCCCATGTAATTCTCTGGTGTCTAGTAAGCATTTCAGGGATCCACTTTGTCTCGTAGCCTCCCAAGTCATGCCTTATATGTTAGTTTCCCTTAATAAACTCTACTAATTACCTTGTTGGAGTGGCCAGCCTCTATCTTCTGCCTTTCCCTGCCCTCCAGTCATGGAGGTAGACTTTCAGTCCTCCGACGTTTCCCTGCATCTGAGCACACTAACAACCAGGGAAGTGTCAGAGAAGGTATGTGAATTGGCTTCACAAGGCCTTGACCTGTTTGCACAGGGACTCTAAGACAATACTTTGAGGTTATCATGTTGTAACCTTTTGAAGATGGTGTATTCTTTTACCTAAATGGCTGCTGGCTCTACTCAGCACAACCTAGAACTCATACACCTATGATCCTTGCACAAATGGTGCAAAAAGAAGCTCACTTTTTCAGATTCTCTTTGTAAGTGATTCTCTTTGGGAGTTTATAAGCCAGCATCAAAAAAGAGAAATTGGCCCTGGCTGGTGTGCTCAGTGGTTAGAGCATTGGCCACACACGGAAGG